GTACCGTTTCGAACCTTTTCCTGTATTCTTGGAAAAATAATTTGACACTATAATCTTCTTCATCATCATCTTCAAACATAGGTGGGTCTTCAAATGCATCAGGAAGTGTATCATCCATCACACTCACACCTTCGCTGTCTGACTCAATGCCATGATCATCCTTATTGGTCTCCTCAAGTTGGGCTTCTGTGTCGTTAGGATGAGATCTCCCGGACTCATCAGATAGGGCATTAAATAGCTGATCCAAGTGATTTTCCATGTTCTGCATCCTTGCATTTGCTTGTTGATTATTTACCTCAGAAGCTTGTATGAATTGCTTGAGTGTTTCTTCCAGATCAGATAGCTTCTCTGAAATTATCTCTTCCAATTCGTCATCTGAATCCTGTGGCTCATAGCTCAGCAAAGACGTAGGAGTGATTGAAACATTTGTATTTGTAAGTTGTGGGGAGGACGAAGTGGGGTATGCAGTTGCCCAGTAAGGATGGTCGTATGGAGGAATGGGGCAAAGACATGAATGGTGACCACCTCCATAGAAGTTACAAATGCTATTTTTAGGAAAGCAATCAACCAATTCCTCAGGACTTTTAGTTCGAATGAGAAATTCTAGAATAGAGCCACGTTGTGCCCTAGGATATTGTGGATAAGGATAATGATTAGGAGAATGAGATTGAGAGTATTGCGTATTTGGAAGAGGGTAAGAATAGGAATATGGAAATTTTTGTGGTGTTGAAGAGTAATATTGGCGAGCTGTGTAGAATTGAGGAGGAGGAGGAGTGTAAGGAGGGTATGACGTATATGGTGAATATTCCATAGAGGTGAATGGGTTCATCTCATGCCTTTTAGAAAAATACCTGAAAGGCTAGTACAGAAAAATCCTACGGAAAACTAAAAAAAAGTCTAACTAAAAAAAAATCTCGCTGAAATTAATTAACCCTTAAAACCGACACCGTCCCCGGCAACGGCGCCAAAAACTGATGTTAGTTTTCTCGCACTTAAAAAGATTGTAATATAGCAGTGAAAGTACGAGTATCATCTCCACAGGGACGGTAAAAGGGAATTAAGAATTAACTAAAAATCAGCGATAAAGAATAAATAAAATAAATGCGGTCGTGCGAGATTTGGTTGCTTGAGAAAACTAAAATTGCAAATAAACGATTAAAAGTAAATGATTGGGTTCTTCTTAATTAACAACGAAGGGAACAGGGATTGATTCCGGGGTAATCAGATTTCTGGCAGATCAGACTTAATTACATGAATTTAATTTAATTGAGCCTAGCTAATCAATACTAAGTTATTACCGCTCTCGCGGCGTAGAGTACAATAATTTAGGGGACCAGGCTGATCTCTCGTGCGACAGGATCCTAAATTATTGCCAAGACGAACGAGCTTACGGCCCCTTAATCGCTATTAATCTCTTAGCGAACGATTAAGTGTGTGTGAATGTGTCCTAGAACAAATTAGATCTCTCTTAATTTATTCTATAAGTAATTGTAATTCTAGTGGTCATTCTAAGTTGCAAAAGATATCAACTAAATTATTCAAACACAAATTAAACGGCATTCATGCAATTTACACCATCAAGAACCTAACCATACATCATGATTAACCCCTTCATCAACCCAAATCCCTAATTAAAACTACTCCCTATTCATAATTGAAGAATCAATAGAATTGGGGAAAATAGAATTAATTGTCATTAATCAAAAAGTAGAAATTTACAAAGAATGTTAAGGGATTGAAAAACCTGGCTGAAAAAGCTCTCTAATCTCATCCTTAATCTCTCTCTAAAGTTCCATCCCCCCTTAATTGTGTTTAGGGGGTGATATTTATAGGAAACAATCAAATTTGGGCTGATTTAGGACTCCCGTAGCCGCGCTCGGCGTCCACGCTCGGCGAGCGTGGCGTCCGAGCGTGCGGAGCAAGCCCGTGTCACGGAATTACGCTCGGCGAGCGTACCAGCCACGCTCGGCGAGCGTGGATACGAAATTTCTCTTTTAACTCTCTGCCTTGCTCGCTCGGCGAGCGTACCAGCCACGCTCGGCGAGCGTGGCACTTTTCTTCATGTTTCCTTATTTCTTGCTCCAAGATGCTCCCGTTTGCTCCTGTGATTGATCCAAAAGCTCTTTCTTTATTGAAACTTCATCGCGAACCTCCCGGTGACCTTCAAAATTCCGAATTCTTTCTCGAACATGCCTCTACTCATCCCGATCACTCCTAAAGCTCCGATTCCGGGCTCTCAACGACCTGATCTCAACTTTAGAATGCCAAAACTCGTTCCAACACCTGACTAACATGACTTGAGCTAAATATGACACTTATGACGCCTAAAAGCGAATAAAACCATCAAAATCCGACTCCAACACACATCAAATGCGTGTTGAAATATGAACTTATCACACCTCTACCGCCGTCACGGCCGCCGTGACCATTGATGTTGCCTGCCATAGCCACCATCGTTATTGCCGCCATCATTCTGCTGCCGCCTCATTCGGCATCACTGCTAGATCGTGTGCCACTGCCTCCTCATCCCACGTCACCTTTGGCTCATCTGGCTCCACCTTTGGCACCACCATCCATCTCAAGCCTTGAAGAGAGTACCCTAAAGTATACAATTGGAATGCATCTTAATGCCACTTTAATGCAATTTGTACTAAAACAGAGGAGGCTAATTTTATTGCCATATTCACAGTTTCATGGCATTATAAGCATTGCAAGAGGAAATTGTTGCCATCGTGATGAACTTTAGTGCCACAAAGATCGCACTATGTTGTATATGAGATTTGCCATAAAAGTGGAATAAATTAAGAATCTTTCTATCATAAAAGTGGAAAATATTGCTCTATTGTAATGCCATGTTTTTGAAAGTATTTTTTGACATATAATGCCATTTTTTATGAAAGTTTTTTGACATATAATGTCATTTTTTATGACATTAAATGTCATTTAAATGGAAATAGTACTCCTAAAGATGTCATTATTACTCTTAAAAATGGCATTAACAGTTTCTATGCAAAACAACATGGAATTACGGAGTATTAATTTTGGATTTGAAGTGGCATGATAAAGCCATCTTGGTGGAGTCGGTGACATTTTAGCCTTGTATTTTGAAATACGTAATATCTCATTCTTAATACCAAACAGTTATTAAATTTTTTAATTATTAATTGAACTAGAATACTGAAAACAGCATAAAAAATATCGATTGAAATCAACTGTAAAATAAAATTGAAATTGTATAAAAAAGATGAAGGGTGGAGAACGAATTGTTGGAGAAGGATCGAACAGGAGAAGAATAGAAGAAAGAAAAGAAGAAAGTAAAGAAAATAAAGAAAATAAGAGGAAGAAAAAAGGAGAAGAAAAAGAAAAAAGGAGAAGGGGAAGAAGGGATGGTCGAAGGTCGAAAGAGGAAGAAGCAGATCAGAACTTACCTACGATGCTGCTACTCGTTTATTGTCGGGAAGCTTCGAGAAATCAAACTAGATGGAGATGGAGGGGAAAGTGCTATATATGACCGCAGAAGATACCAGAGATTGGAGATTTGGGGGTGTAAACGGTGAGGGGAGAGAAGATACGAGAGATTGGGGGCAAAATGGGAAGAGGAAATAGGTGACTCGTTTTTTAACTCCTATACTGGGAATAAATTAAAGTGCTGTCCTATTTGAGAATTCTCCTAATAATTTGATCCTATTTAAGTCAAATACTTCCTATTTTATCCACAAGAAGAAAAGATCCCAGAATCTTCCCCCGACATCTTCCGATGGCATGTGATCGGCGATTCGCTGGAGTTCCTGTTCCTCCGCTTTAGTTTGATTTTTGTTTCAATTTCAAAATTTTACAGATCTACACCTGCTTTCTATCCAATCTTCTTGCATTGGTTGTGGATAAAGTCATAAAACAGAAGACATCTAATTATCTGGAAAACAATGGCTAAAAATTGATATAATATATGATAATTCTCGATCTTTCACACTATTTTCAATGTCATTGTTATTATTTGATATTGTGATATACTACCTCCGTTTCTATTTGTTTGACATAGTTTGACTTGTCACAGATTAAGGAAAAAAATGTTACTGAGGGGTAAATTTTACTGTAGAGTACACTGTTTGGCACTATTTGAACACTGTTTGGCACTGTTTGACACTGTTTAGCGCTGTTTTTCACTGTTTTGGTAAAGATTTGTTTACCAAATAATTAAATAAGGAAGTGTGGCATTCATTTTGAAACATCCAAAAAAAGAAAGTGTGTCAAACAAACAGAAACGGATGGAGTATTTTTTACATTGTAAAATTTTTCTACATTCTCCCAATGACATTGTCATGATAGATATCAACATCAACATTAACATTGTCATTATTACAATGTCAATATTGAAAGCATTGTTATTTTTATTAATTGATATTGTGACATTTTTTTGACATTATATCATTTTTCTAAATTATATCAAAGACATTGCCCTGAAAGTCATTGACATCGGTATTGACTTTGTTATTTTCGCAATGTCAAAATTATAGCATTGACATTATCATGACATTGTGATTATTACAATGACATTTATAGCATTGACATTGTCATTATTTGACATTGTGATGTTTTTCTAATATTGTAACATTTATTTTTTCTTTTTTTCACAATATTTATAATTTTATGACATTGACATTGTTTTTGACAATGTCATTTGTATAACAATTTCATTTTTAACATTGACATTATCATGACATTATTACAGATATTGCGATTATTACAATGACATTGATATAGACATTGATGGAATTATTATTTGATATTTTGACGTTTCTTTGATATTATGACATTTTCGGTGACATTGATATTTTTGTAAATTGTGAGATTGTGAAAATTTTATAATAATCTTATCATTAAATCGTGACATTAATAATGAATCGACATTGTATGGTTTTTTGCAGTGACAATGTTAAACTATATACTGTTAAAAGACTTTATCAATTTGGTGAATTTTTTGTAAGCACACAAATGACATCATAATCACCAAGCCACTTTAAGTACACATTAAAAATGAATCACCAGGCCACATTAAAAAAACAAATTGTGGGTCGTAGTGTAATAAACAAAAATAATGAATCGTCAAGCCATCATCGTGAGAAATAGGGGAATTTCCATAGTAAAAAATCACAGATACATTAAAATCAATTGTGAGAAGTAGTGGAGTGGAAACTGTGGAATACACACAAAATTGAATCGTCGGGCCAAAATATTTTCACAGAAGCACCATGTCGCAGAGGAAGCATTAGGCTGAGGGATCTCGAACGACTTACTTTTTGTTTGCAACGAAAATGGCGGAACTGTGGCCGGAGAACTTCCCAGCTTGGCAGACGAGCACTCATACGGCCATACGGCCCATACCCACAAAAAATCTGGAATCTCACAGCGCCGGCGCGCCGACTCAAAAGAAGGAAGAGAGATCGAATTTTCATTGTTTTTTCTGGGACAGGGGCGTCGACGATGGGACCAGAGCTGAAAGAAGAAGCCATAGCGCTAGGGGTTCTTCGTTAGGAGCTCTCCGGCTATCTATCTACATGCCCTAGGTAGCCGGTGGAGGAGGGGTCAACTCGACGATGATGCTGCACTCTGTTCCTTCTTCGTAGTTTTTAAATGACTTGGATATCCAGTTTTAAAAATTAGTTCTATACGCGAGTTAACAAACTTGAAATCTTATTTACTTTCTCAGCACATGTTCTGGTCCTATTTAGGTCTATTTTACATTGCATCGTGTACAATTTATTTCCTCGAGTGTACTTCTAAATGTATACTGCCATCATGCTATTAAAATAGCTTCTGCCTTCGTGTACATAACCTATATTTTTTGTAGTGCAAACAACTTGTGTCCTACACACCTGTGTCCGTAGTCCATACACGACTCTAAAGAGAGATCATTATTTAACATAACTCTCTTAGTTTAATCAGAAACCAGTATCACACCCATGCGATGCACGGGGTGAAGTTTTTTTTGTTCAATATTTATACATAAAAAGTAATTCATAAAAGTAAATTAAAAATTATACTTCTGTCATGTATAATTCTTCTCACTTTTATTGGTTGTTCCAAAAAAATCCCCCCATTTTATTATAACAAAATAAAATACCAACTTTATATATAATAAACATTACAAATTGCTCATGCATGAATAGAGAAATATTACAAATTACAAATCACACCTTGTTATAAGTTATAACACAGGAAATATTGTAGAAGTTTGCTAAAAGGAGTATAATATGCATAAAAATATGAAAAAATTGCATTAATATACAAATGTGGCTTTTAATTTTTAACATTTACATATACAAATACATCAAAATAAGTAATGGATAAATCATCTTTATCACACCAACCTTTTCAATTCAAGACTCAAAAAATAGATTAGAATCTACCAATTTATACTAAACTATTCAATCCAAGACTCAAAAAATATATTAGAAGCTACCAATTTAGCACCCACAATCAAAAGTCATCTATTTAGGACCAAGACTAAATATATATTCGTCAAAATGGACAATAGATTTTTCTTAGATGAAACTCTTCTTCGCCGTCAACCAATTCGTCTTAACAGTACTCTCGCCATCTTCAGTTTCGTCCTTCTGTTTTCTTTCACTCGGTCATTTTTGCTTACATTGTCCACCTGCAATCTTTACACAAACTGACGCACTTGGTATATCTAAAAAATTTTAGCAGCTCCCATTAATTATTAGAAATTGTTACTCAAAAATCACCATTGAATAACATAGTATTCTAGAGCAGTAAGTCACTAACAGATCTTATAAAAATCATAAATTTTAAAATAAACACCTTGATTAAATAAACTTAGCATTTTAAGTTTTCTTAAACATTACCTTACTTCTTATAAGCTGATCTTATTTGGAAGGTTTTGTTAATCTTAAACTTGTCTACAAACTGAAAATGAATCACAATAGTGGCCTTAAAATAATTCTACAAAAATGCTAAGCTTATTTTGGCTCGGATAAATTCCCTGCCAAATTTGTCTCGACATTTGGCTCGGTATACCAAAATATATAGATCGTATACTTTTTGGCACGGATAAATCCGTTTCTAGAGTTTGTCTCGGAAGTGCCGAGTCAAAACACGATCCAAAACCGAAAAAAAAAACAATTTGGAGAAGTGTTTATAAAGGCAAGATATCCAAGGGGGAATTCAATGATTCCTAAAATCACACTCACCAATGTGGAGAAGAATTTGCAATATCCATGAGTTTGCAGCCTACCAATGTGATTTCTCTGATGATAAAATTACCTGGAATAATACTAATGATGGTCAGTTTTCTTTCAAGTCTGCTTTCAATACAGTAAGACATTCTACTCTTAATAAAACATGGTAAATGTTCCCCGGCATTTACCCCACTGATTTTGGTGGTTTGTCTTTCGGGGTTATAAAAAAACCAAAATTTTGCATTCTAAACAAATTGATCCAAATTCCGTTCCAATTTGGCACGGATATGTATTCGATCCAACTCCGATTTTGGACTTTCAGTGTTTGACTCAAACATATCTGAGCCAACACAATCCCAACCTAATTCTGTTTCAACTGGAACGGCGTTTTCCGTGCCAATAAGAACATGTTCTATAGATGAGGATCAGTGCCAATATCCGAGAGAATAGTTTTGAGCCAAATTATGTGCCATAATTTTTATTACATTTTTTAGGCTTTTGGCTCAAACGGACTGTCTGTGCCACAAGATGACCGTTACGCAAAATTCATGTCAAATTCTGAGCCAAGAAGTTACCTTTGTGTATTCCAGGACTTATTTTCAAACGATTTAGTCGAATGAATTAATCCGAACCAAAATCCGTTCCAAAATATGACCGTTTGGTTTCCAATTACAATTTCCTTGCCAAAATCTGAGCCAAATAAAAGTATAAAACTATAAATCCTTGCACATTCCTAAGCAAAAAATACATCTTCTTTGTCTTATTATGTGTTTGCTACGTGGAATATTTATATTTGGATTTCTTAGAAGAATTATGTTCTGGCTATAAGGTGTGTAATTTTATTCGCTTTATTAATCAATTTAAATAGATCAATGCATATTTCATGTCTTGAATTATAATTATTGTCATTGTTTGTCTTATACCAATAAAATGTCGTGTGATAAGTTTTAAAAATTTACTTACTAGCATGTACTTTTAAGAAGAATAAATAAATATTTATTAATTTATTTTACATATTCAGGACCAATGAATAGAGAAAGTAGAAGTTGGATATATAGGCGATATAAAGAAAATGATAGAGGATTGACTAAGGAATTTATTGATGGAGTTGCTGAATTTATTAGTTTTGCACAAAGGCAAACACGATACACGGATGGAAATAATATAAGTTGTCCGTGTACAGAGTACTCCCTCCGTTCCGTATTAAAGTTCTCAATTTCCTTTTTGGGATGTCCCTTATTTAAGTTCACATTTCCATTGTAGGAAACAAAACAGTGCAAAACAGTGTCAAACAGTGTCAAACAGTGTCCAAACAGTGCCAAACGGTGCACTCCACAGTAAAGTCAAATTTATTTTCTTAATCTGTGTGAAGTCAAACTGTGAACTTTAATAGGGACTGGGGGGAGTATAAAAATATCAAGTTTCTTGATCCTGATACCGTGGAGTGGGGTTTATATACGCACGGTTTTATTGATAACTATTACAATTGGACTTCTCAAGGAGAATCGATTGATACATGTATTTTGACACAGACCTTAGGCACATCAAACTATGTTCCTAACGAGATGGCTGGTTGGGAAAATTATGAAGAAATGTCATGGGAGCAGAAAATAATTTATGATTTCTTCGGTCCTTCAACATTTCACAATACCCAACCAAATAATGATTTCACTTCACACAGTAATGTGAATGAGGAACCAAGTTCATCTTATTATGAGGTAGATGAGCTAGGCACTAGATTTCAAGAAGTTCTCAAAAGCACGGATGAGCCTTTGTATTATGATTGTGATGGTCCCTTCTCAGTATATAGGCTCCCAAGGGATGTATGATTTCTGCTGATTTACCATATTCCTTTCTATTTATAATATAGCGAGGATATAATTAATCTGATTTACCATATTCATTTCTGCTGATATACATTAATCTGAATACATAAAATGATAAAATATTTATAGCCATATTTAATTAACACATGAAGCTAGGTCCAGAGTTCTGTCAGTATTTGTATGACGGTAATTGGTAATTGGTTACGGAGCTCTATTGTATTTAACGATATCTATTTCGGTGTTACAATTATTTATTGGCTTTAGATAAGAAGTTATACGGCAGGACACTTGAGCAGTGAATTCATTTAATTACTCCACTTTCCAACCTTCCTTGTAAGTTGAAAAGGCTTATCCAACTTAAAATAATCATTATGGGATTTTTATTAATTTTATTTTATTATTATATCTCACATGCTGAACACGTGAAGCAATTAGCACAGATTTGTGCACTACACTTACCGGAGGTTTTGGCGGTAATATTTAGGGCCTACGTAGTAAATAGATTTAGGGTCTCTTTGGTGACCAGTTGCATTGGCTGGAATGGCTGAAATGCCTGAAAAGCCTGAAAAGACTTAATTTGCTGGAGTGAAAGTATTTGGTAATATTTTGAACGTTTAAAGGATATTTTCTCTTTTAGGATATCAATAGAGTAATGGAGCCTTTGAAGAAATTGCATAGCAAGGATGGTTGTGTTGTCCAGATATAGGGAAAACGTCTTTTTTACGGCAAGTATTAAAATTCACAATTTTTAATTGGAATAAAAGTGACTTATCAGTGGACTAAAACTGACAATAAAGTAGACTTGGACTCGGGCCAGGTCGGGCCGGCGGTTCTGAATAGCTGGACCCGCGACTGGCCCGGGTAGCCACCGGATCTGGGCCGGGCCTCGGGTTTGGTTATTTTTTTTGTTTTGCTTACCTACCCATCCCTGACCTCCCATCACCCCACACCCCCCACCCCCAAACTCCTCCTAAACATCAAGCCCAACCCGAGTGGAGCCCAAACAAATGAAAAAAACCCAAACAAAAAAATCAATTTGGCCCGAACCGAACCCAGGCGGGCCTTGTTTTGAGTGACCCGAGCCCAGACCGGAAACCCATCGGGCCAGGCCTACCCAGACCGGTCACTGACCGGGCCACCGGTTCGGGTCGGGCCAGAACAGTACCGGTCCCAGGCCGGTTCCGGGTCAGGCCACCCGGCCCGAGTCCAAGTCTACGATAAAGTAGGGATGGACCAAACCGGTCGGCCCGGCCCTGAACCGGCCCGCCACTGTGCGGGCCCCGCCCTGCCCGGTTACGGAATGGGCGGTGCGGGCTTTTACCCGGCCCGGGGGAGGCTAGCGGTTCGGGCACGGTTCACAAAAAGGAAGGCCCGGCCGGTTTGGGCCAACGGCTATAATTTAAAAAAAAAAATCTTTTGGCTACCAAACAGACCCTTAGAGCCGTTGTGATTGAACCCAAACGGCTATATAGCCGTTGGGAGCCTTCTTGGGGTCCAGGGGTGGGTTAAGGGGGTGGGGGTGGGGGGTAGGGTTACAAAACAACTATAAATACTCCATTTTTTCTATACAATTTATTACACATCTTCTCCAAATATTCCTACTCTCTAATCTCTGTTCTCTACTAATTTATTATTTATATATCTACTTTATACTTAAGATGAAAAATCAAGATGCCGTTATACGGGATAATTTTGATAAGCAGAAGGACCCGAAAACCGAGATGTGGTACGCAACTTGTAAATGATGTGGGAAAAAATGTAGCATGAGGGTTTCAGGCGGATACGGGATGGCAATGAAGCATATGAAGTCATGTGACAAAGCCAAAGGATCGGGAGGTGCGGGAAGTTCCGATTGATTACAATTTACAAAATGTTTCTCTTGAAGTTTGTTTTAATTTTCAAATGTAGTTCCTATTTCATTTCAAATAAATGCACTTGAAGTTTGTTTTTTAATACTTGTATAAAACTATAAAGTATAAAATATAAATTTTAAAAAAAAAAATTAACCGACCCGGCCCGGCAGGTGGCCCGACCCGTGACCCGGGCGGGTGGCCCAGCCCGAACCGGACCCGTCCAACCCTCGGGCTAGTCCCGGGCCCATGTGATACGAACCGACGGCCCGACCCGGCCCGAATCCACCCCTACGATAAAGCATCAGATACTTCCTATGACAACAAATGGTAAGAAATTTTGACGGGTAATCCTATCAAGGTTTAGAAAGAACTAATACACGTACTTAGCATAGTCCAGACAAACATTTTAGCGAAGAAGACAATTAAATAATGGATAAAGAAGTATTCAGAAATAAAAAGAAGGGACAAAGAGGTCTTTTAATAAGCTAACAGAAATATTTGGGTTACTTCTTCGGCTGATAATAAATATCAGCTGACTAAGCCCATTTGAGGGCTGTTTGGTGATATCTGTGCATATTCAGGCTTATAAGCCTTTTTTTGCTCCTCCAAACGGCCACTTAGATTATAGGATTAAAAAGATCAAAAACAGACAACCAATCATCTTCATAACACGCATTACAGAAGACAAAACAAACCTCGAAAACTTATCATTGTTTTTAAGGCTCTAGCAACGTTACACCTCATTTCAATGTTCACACTCTACCCCAAAGTATGGTTTTAACTTTTAATAAATAATTCGAGGAATAAATATTTTTTTCCCAAGCTAAACAATCTCCGGAATGGGCCCCGGGACACACAATCATCTTTGTATTGAGAAGTGTTGTCAATTTAAAATTTCTCATTAACTACTTGCTGACAAAAACAGTAAAGAAATAGCTAATCCCAAGCACTGTTAGCTCCAGGGCCATATCCTCCACCATAACTGCCATACCCTCCACCACCACCACCACCATAATAATCTCTGCCTCCTCCTCCACCACCCCTTCTAAAGTCGCGGGCCCCGAAACGGCTCCCACCGGGCCTCCTGTTTCTCCCCCCAGCATACGAACGACTAGCATAACGGGACAACCAATCGGGTACCTCCTGATTAGCTTCTTGCATAAGATCAGCCAACGGTTTGGCCAATGAGGCATTGCCTTCATTAAAAAAGGCCGTGGCCAATCCACTCTTTCCAGCACGGCCTGTCCTTCCTATCCGGTGCACATAGTCATCTATGTCGTTGGGGAGATCAAAATTGATAACATGAGCAACGTGAGGGATATCAAGCCCACGCGCTGCAACATCTGTTGCAACTAATATGGGGGTATCCCCTCTCTTAAATGATCTTAATGCCAGCTCCCTTTCCTGTAGAATTAGTGCAGCTATAAGTACAAAGTATAGTATAATGGAACTTGACATTTGTACATGTTTGGCTTACACTTTTTGCACACACTTGGTCGAATTGTGTCACAGACAATCATTTAGGACACAAACGTCTGCGTAAAAAAATCATCTAAAAGACCAGTAAATTTCAAATAGACATTGGTTTGCGCACTACTCACACAGGTTTGGATGTCCATCTGAGTAATTTGCAGATATGAAAATGTCTAGGATGCACGGAATCAAATGTCTGTATTATGCACTTTTGTCTAACACATTTTGCGGGACAGTTTTGGCTATGAAATTGGATTTTCTTCCAACAGAAATTTATCTATTGCCCAACATAAGTGAATGATTTTGAAATGTGTAAACAAACATGTAAAACTTTGCACAAAGCACTGTGTGCAAATTCAATAGCTTACATCCCAAGATATCAAACCAAATTTAGTTGGGTTCCACTTCAAGTGGTTGCCAGTTTCCAGCCTTTGATTTTGTGGTTCTAGAGTTACATGATACATGTATCCAGTTATCCACACTTACACTAATCATGTTATAGAGGACTGAAAACAGTTTTTATGGTTATCAAAAGACGGTAAAGAGTTTTTGGAAAGAAAAAAAGGACTGAAAACAAACACCCCAAGCATGGAATACAAAATGGACTGCACAATGGAATACAAAATGAATGCAGTAGTATCTCCACTCCATTCCTATGTTTGGTTATTTACGTAATGAAGATTAAGGTGTAAAGCTTACAGATTTACAGGTTACAGGACAAATAAAAGGCCCAACCAAACTGGTATATTTGGTTATTTCATTGCATTGTTAACTCCACCCTACCAAACATAGCCTTAGTAAAAAAAAGTTGCTCAGTACCTTCTTACATTCCCAAATTTGCTCAATATTGCTTTAAGAAAGATGAAATTGTATGGTCGAAATTGATCTAGAAAGAAACGAAAAACTTCAACTGCAATTACCCTCTTTTAAAGGAATATAAAGATATTTTTTAGATGGACAAGATGGGAAAGTGGGAAGCTGGTTTGGGGATGGAGAGAGTATAAAATGAGTTTTCCCAACCTGTTGTGACCTATCACCATGAATAGAAGTTGCAGGAAACCCATTAGTGCACAACCAATGTTCCAATGCATCTGCTCCTTTCTTTGTTTCCACAAACACCAAAGTTAGAGCTTGCTGCAAAAGTTACACCAAACAATCAAGCAAATTATAAACCCAATCCATCTAAATCATTTCATTTTTTTATTTGTCTGCCTAATCTGTATTTGTTTCAGTGGACACTCTCCACTGCTGTAGTTTCAATAAAGAAAGCTATCCATATAATGGTATAGTCTCTTCATAGGGGATACATTATGATTTATTACCTGACCATTAAGTCCATTAGCCCTATGTGCATGAAGAAGATCCATAAGATGGCTTCTCTTGTCATTATTTTGAACAAGCTCAACTCTCTGAACAATCAAATCGGTACTGGAACCAACTCGCCCAACAGTCAAAAATAAGTAGTTCGAAAGAAAATCAGATGCAAGTCTCTGCATGCAAACCAAAGAGGGGAATGATCAAGAGATAACTCATATCCAGGTTTCCAGTCTCAATAGCAGTTAGTTGGGTTACTTCTTAGTTCACAACTTAAAAACATGCAAGAAACTTCATTGTTGCAAAATTTTGAACACACAGTATGGGGAAAAATGATAGTGCTATAGCTAAGTGCTCGCCTCAATTAAGACAGAGGGACAGCCAACCCATATTATGCTCAGATCATCATTTATTTTCATTTTCATTTTCATTTACCCCAGTGCCGCAAAGGCTCCCACCTACGGTGGGGTAAGGGGGGGTCGGATGTACGCAGTCTTACCCCTGTACTAAAGCACACCTGTACTAAAGCACAGAGAGACTGTTTCCGGATGATCCATAGTGAAAATCGTGTCCAAAATTGCATGGACTGACTGCTGCTCCATAACAAAGAAGCGTAGACAGTTTAGTGAGTCATTTTGCTTTATTCCATCATAATCTCAAACCAAAAAATGAATCTTTGGCTCCATTGCAAATGATGGAAATATTATGCTCAGATCATCATTAAGCAACAAAAATGCATAAAAATTGAAATTGCAATCAAGGCAGGTGGAACGCTACACCAAAGTTCAACAAGTTCTACGGTGTATAAAGAAATTACTCTCATCCGAAAAGATGATGCCATCTCCTTCCTACAAAAAGCCCTATTTGACTAAAGTACAACCTTTTTATTTGGAAAGGTTCAACTACCATAATTCACAAATCATTCTTATACTTTCAATTCTAGTTGCAGTCTAAACTAAGTTTATCATACGCTTTTTCTGACTTTTCTTTGGCAATTTTTTTGTAAAACTACATGAAATTAGCTTACTTCCATCAAAGGGACACTTTTTTGGGACAATAATATGTTCACAACAAGACTCCTTTTTTGGACTCAAGAGTAATGTATGCTCAAGCATAATCCCAAAATCAAATTGAGATTTGAGAGGCTACATAGGGGGTGTTTGGATTTGATTCTTAAAACTGCTTCTGCTCCTTCAGGGAGCAGAAGGAGAAGTTGGAGTGTTTGGGTAAAAGTGCAGAAGTGATTCTGGTGCTCTAATTTACTCCTAGAATCAGTTTTTTTAGAAGTTGGGGGTGACCAGCTTCTGGAAACTGATTCTGATTCTGCTTTAAAAAAGAAGCAGAATCAGAATCACTTCCAAACACCCCCATAGATTGAATATTTCTATTACTCTGGTTAGGACCCGTGACAGGTAGTTTGGGGGATATTTGCATTGGCTGGTTAGTAATTAGAAACAGTTTAATAGTAAAATAAGGTTGTCAGCAATAACCAAACCTGAATCTCCCTAGGAAATGTGGCACTGAACAGCATTGTTTGTCTTACACCAGGTGGGGGCATGTCCATTTCCTGCACTATCTTTCTGATTTGAGGCTCAAACCCCATATCGAGCATACGATCTGCCTCATCAAGGGCCAAATATCTTATCATCTCTAGAGAAATTTTGGCTCTCTCAAGCAAATCAACTAGTCTTCCCGGAGTTGCCACGAGAATATCAACTCCTCTATCAAGTTCTCGGAGCTGTTTTTTTAATGTAGTTAGTCACATTGTACAAGATCACATCAAAAGAAAAAAATATATGGAGGAGGATAAGATAGCTGATTTATGTGTAGTCTGGTGAGAGAAATATAATAGTAACAAAATTGAATCATGGAACCATCAAAGGATTAATTGAGGTCCCGACTTCCAGGTCATTTAAAATAAAGAGGTGTCCGTAAAGATTAAAATAATGTTGCAAGACTGCAATTAATAATAAAAAAACTAACTCAATAAGTATACTGCTTTGTCTAGCAAAACAAGCTGATAAGATACCTGATAGGTCAGCTACGAGCCTAGGACTGATACTTAAATTAGCAGCTTATAATATAATTATAACTGACCAGTTAGTTGGTTCATACTGTGTTTGGTGAATATTAGCAGTTAACCTAGCTGTGAGAACAAAATGACATAAAGCAATATTAAAATAAAGCAATTTTAAAAAAGGAGAATTCCCCAAATAGGACTAAATAAAACTTAAATTGCAAGAATAGGAGTAACTTTCCAATCCTACCCTTCCTATGTGTTAATACAATTCAGATTTTTATTAATAATTAAATATAAATAATAATAAAATAGTTCTATTTGTAATAAATTTAAAAAATATAAAAACACAAAAATAATATTAAATAAAATTAATAAAAATAAAAATTAGAAAAAAAATTATAGAAATAAAAAAACTTAAAAAAATGCCAACATGCATCATGTAATTATAACTGACCAGTTAGTTGGTTCATACTGTGTTTGGTGAATATTAGCAGTTAACCTAGCTGTGAGAACAAAATGACATAAAGCAATATTAAAATAAAGCAGTTTTAAAAAAGGAGAATTCCCCAAATAGGACTAAATAAAACTTAAATTGCAAGAATAGGAGTAACTTTCCAATCCTACCCTTCCTATGTGTTAATACAATTCAGATTTTTATTAATAATTAAATATAAATGATAATAAAATAGTTCTATTTGTAATAAATTTAAAAAATATAAAAACACGAAAATAATATTAAATAAAATTAATAAAAATAAAAATTAGAAAAAAAATTATAGAAATAAAAAAAAACTTTAAAAATTGCCAACATGCATCACTCATGCCATCTTAATGGCAGTTTCAGAGAAACATTTGGCATTTCCAAAGAATAATAATGTCATCTTCATGACATTTTCAAAGAAAGTGGCATTCTTTACACAAAATGGCTTTTATTTTGCTAATCGGAGTGTCACAGGGACGCCATGAAACCACAAGGTGCTTGGTATTTTTTCTACTTCCTCCGTTCTTTTTTTATTGCAACATTCCAATTTTCATGTTTGCCAACGCGCAAGTTTGACCACTAATATATTGCATTCCTTATTAGTAAAAAGTTAAAATATTCAGATTTTGATAATTTAAAATGAGAGATATTTAACAATATTTTTCAAAAAATTAATTTATAATATATTAATGATTAAAATGTTGTCAAAATAGAGCATGTAAATAGTGTAAAATTCACGAATGTTGCAACTAAAAAAGAACGGAGGTGGTATATTTTTGTTACAAATAAAAATATGAATTTCTTATTAATTTGTGGTAAGGGTAGAATATGAAGATAGAGTATACTTTACTCATATTTGGGAAAAATAAACACTATAGTCCTATTTGAGCATTTAAGGATTATTTTACTCCTATTTAGGGCAATTTTCCCATAAAAACGAAAAATCTCATATGTTTTTTAAATCCATCCAAAGAAGCTTAATAATAAGTTTGAACCTATCAAATAAGTTTGTCAAATAAGTTAGTTGCTCTAATCATTTTCTCACCTCTGTAACTTCTTTTTTCAATGTATTGTATGGTTTGATAAATTTGGGGAAGGAGAGAATGGGGGAGAAGCGGGAGTGAGCTAATAAAATTACATAGTTTGGTTGGGTGAAACTAGTGAAGAAAGAATGTTAGTCTGAGGCCCAATTAAAAAAATACCCTTCAGAATGTTCCCTAATGTGATTTTTATGTTTATTTATCTCGGATGTTAGCATGCCTAAAACTAAGGATCTTGGGAAGAGATGATATTCACTGACGAATACCTTACTCCTCAAAATTTAATAACAAGATTTATTATCAAGAAACTTGCATATTAGTCCGTGTAACAACTAACAAATGTATGTATCCATTATTACTCTCTAAAACTCTACTCACTTGGAGATCTTGTTCCATAACTAATAAGAACAAATAACAATATTGGAACGAAAAAAGAAATATCTAGCAATACATACTACCTCCGTCCCGGCTTAAGGTTCTTATTGCAAAATGGCACGGTTATTTAGACAACAATTAAATAAGGTACATTTTCATTTTCATTTTCATTTTCATTTACCCCAGTGCCGCAAAGGCTCCCACCTACGGTGGGGTAGGGGGGGTCGGATGTACGCAGTCTTACCCTTGTACTAAAGTCTTACCCCTGTACTAAAGCACAGAGAGACTGTTTCCGGATGACCCATAATGAAAATCGCGTCCAAAATTGCATGGACTGACTGCTGCTCCATAACAAAGAAGCGCAGACAGTTTAGTGAGCCATTTTGCTTTACTCCATCATAGTCTCAAGGTAATTCGGATATATTTTGAGAAATAGATTTGATGGGTATATAATATAATAGGGTCACTCATGATAACTGTGGTGTTATAGATGTATTACTTCTAATATTTGATAATTAAATTGTCAATTTAGAGTGTTAATTATTTTCCAAAATAGAGATCGATGAGAACCTTTAGCTGGGAAGTCCACAAAAAAGAAAATGAGAACCTTAAGCTGGGGCAAAGAGAGTATATTTTAAGTGCTAAATATTTCTCTTTTTTCAATATTAACAAAAACAGAACTAGAATAAATAAGAACGAATAATAATATCTAGCACTGCATTTATAGATGCACTTTGGTGAGATGACTAATGAAGGTGTGATGTGAACTTAAATATTTAAACTCATTAATGCAATTATTTGTCAATATGATAGACAAAACTGTCTTTAGAAACAAAATCAATTTTCTTTGTCTCCACTTCCCTGTTAATGTGTCAACACAAAAACCCTATAAAGTACACCAATTTTCTGCTCATTTTCTCTTTTCTCCAACTTTCTGTCTTCATCCAAACGAAGTTCTCCCGCTCCCTCTAGGATAAGTCTAGGTACAGTATGTATTAGTATCAGGCCTTCACAAATAAGACCCCCCCTCCCCACTCCCTCTTCAATTATTCAAAGGAATTCATTTGTAAGCTGTTTGTTATTCAGGCCCAGAATGTTTAAATGGTTAAGTATTTGTTTGGTTTTTTAGTCTAAAATATCCTTAAGATACCGGGATTAATAACCTGAAAAAAAAATTAAACCAAATCCTTGAAATCTATAAACCTAGATAAAGCAAAAGTTTAGTGTTTGATATTCTTGTGTTTTGAAACAATGACATGCACAATTTTATTACACTGTTTTTCTCTTTATTTTAATTACTAAGAAATAGCATGCTGAATAATCTATAAACATTATATAAAGAGTATTGTATTCGACTTTAATTTGGAACCCAAAGATTAAAATCAGGTTTATCACAGAAAGGATGGACCAAAATGAAAAGACACCTGCTGATGCATTGGTGCCCCTCCATAAGCCACTACCGCTCTAACACCAGTTTGATAAGAGAACTTCTTTGCTTCTTCGTGTATCTGCACCATAATTGAACATGAAAATCAGAATATGGAATTTTAATGTCTGTAAACAAGTTACCCGATACTAAATTAGGGCACATACCTGCATTGCAAGCTCTCTTGTAGGTGAAAGAATTAAAGCAAGAGGAAAAACAGTACGTCCTCCACGTGGCCTCTGGGGAAAAGTGCCCTTAAGGATTCCACTAATAATTGGGAAACAGAAAGCAGCTGTCTTTCCGGATCCAGTCTGTGCACAAGCCATCAAATCCCGTCCTGCAAGAGATATTGGGATTGCATGACGCTGGACCGGCGTTGGCTTAACATATTTGCACCTCCTGATATTCATGTTAAGTTCATCCCCCAAGTCAATTTCTGCAAAGGTAGTCACCGGAGGTGGCACATTATTCCCACTTGTTTCCACTGGAATGTCCTCATATGCATCGAAGTTGATCCCATCATTCTCTTGTTCAGTTGGAGGCACCTCATCACCACCATCATTATCATCATTAGCAAAAGGGTTCACCTCCTGCTCTCTACCCCGACCACCACCACCTCTGCCACCCCAACCACCACCACCACCACGACCTCCTCCTCCACCATACCGTTGGCGCCCATAGTCAGATCTGGGACCACTCCAAATTGGCCCGCTTGCTGATCCGCCACCACTGAACCTGTCATAGCGAGATTGTGGACCACTCTGTGTGGGAACTGGAGATGGAGCTTCAGTTCTATTCCTAATATGAGGAGGAATATAGGCAGATCTCCTCGTGGAAGCCAAAGTTCCACTGCCACCACTAGTTCCAGCATTACCGGATGCTGCATTATCAACCAAATCCGCCCATGAGTTCCTCATTGCAGAGAACCGTTACCTCAATAAAGCTAACTAGAGAAATATCAACAAGATACGGGTCCCAGTTTCCTATCTGATTAACAGAGCATAGAAGCCGATATGTGACTCAGTTCAAACCCCTGATTTGAAAAACAGAGAGCAAACAAAAAAGAAAAGATGAGGAATCGAGATAGGCTAGAGAGAAGAGCAATAAACAAAGCAAATAAGGTGTGGAACTGTATTCAACTTGTGAACTCTGCATTTACCCGCGTCAATTTATTGCTAAGTCCTCTCAAGCGCTCATCATACCAAGACGGTGAAAATATTAAATAAAAATAAATTACTGCGAATATGCACCAGCAAACCTCCCATAGCAAATTAAACTTGCAAAAACGCATAAATTCATCTAGCTTTCAAATAGAAAGCTCGAGAGATCTTTAAGACAATAAATGGGGGAACATGTAGAGAGATGAAACAAGTGAATCAGATGTGGAGCTAACCTTGGTGATCGATAGCAAGAAATCGTGCACAAACCCTAGGCTTGAATGAGAGACAAAAAAGTGAAGTGCTGCTGTAATAATAAGGGTAAATAAATGTATGACGGACCGGACACAGAAGCGGAAGGATAGATAGTATAACTATGTACCGTTTGTGCGATGCTCGCTTAGACAACACGTTTCGCGAGCGGTATAGTATATAGGGTAGGAAAAGTATATTCATTGACTAAAATTGACTAAAAATTGATTATTACACGAGTTTGAAGTTGTATAGATTCTCCAAGTATAGTTGAGATAAGCTAAGATAACTAACACATAATTACCTTTTCAAAAAAACAGGTTTACAAATAAATAGGAGGCCGATACTAATAAGTAGTTGAGATGGGAAGGTTAAATAAGCTAAACAAATTGCCCAATTAAATCACCAAAACGTAATTGTTCAAAATATTTACCAAATTTTTATTAATTAATTGCGAAAATACATATGAAGAGATGAGACATAAAACCGATATCTCTCCTAACAAATGGAAATACAAATGAAAAAGAAATTAAAAGTGAATATAATGAGCACTAATGTTTAATTCAATTTAGCTCTAAATAAAATCACAGAGCACTCATAGAAGAAATATGTTGGCTTTCTTTTGTGCACTAAAGTATGTGCAACTTGATTAGTCTCTTGATAAACATGTATGGTCTTATGTCCTAATTTATCCTTGTAGCTATCAAGCTTTTGAAGTAGGGACGACTTTGTATATTTGATCTTCAAGATATATGAAATTGTTGATAACTTGACTTATCATCTTTAAGATAGATTTCAATTGGAAATCTAAAGCCATTACTTAAGCGCCACAATGAAGACCGGTGAGCGGCGCCTCAAGCTCCGCATGAAGCATTACGAGAGCCCAAATTGAGAAAGTAGTTGCCGCAATCGAAATCTCATCTTCATTCTTAAAATTAGGACATTATGGGCACTGTGGCTATTGCCAAAAGTTGCATCCACATTCAACTAATTCTGATACGAGTATTTGTCCTTCCATACCAGAATTCTAGGTCTTGGGCCTATAATATTATTTGGCATATAAAATTCCTTCTTGAACAAGGTCAGCATCATACCTCATGAATTTTGCATCAATCTTACTTAAACACTATTGATTACAATAATCTTTTAAAAAGAAAAACAACACTCGAACTATAAACCTGTTAGTTATCCCAAACAGCCGCATTTAGCCGTAATAGTCGTCCAAGAATTCCAATAATATAGGATTCATTAGCTGAAGGCCAACAACAATATAACATTTGCCTAAGTGGTTGAGTTCGGTGTTTTGTGACATGTTAATTTGAATAATTCCCGTTGAGTATTTCCAGCTGCCAAACACCCTAGAACAGGTGAAAAAATATTATGTTTGTGTGGATTCGGTCAACTCCTTGTTCTTGAACTTTGTCCCATTATCAGCTCTGGTTATCTTCACATTCTGCTGTAGATAGTTCTGTATGCTCCTCATGAACGTCATGATAAGATTGGATGTTTCGTCCTTGGATCGCAAAAACTTGGTCCACGTGTAGTGTGAGTAATCATCAACAATGACCAGAGTGTATTTGCGTCCATTGATGTTGTGTACGCACATTGGACCGCACATATCCATATGTAGTAGTTCCAAGGGATGAGATGAGGAGAGAAATTACTTTGACTTGTGTGATGCTCTCCTCATCTTTCCCAAATGGCCAGCTGAACAATGGTGGTTGGGAGAGTTCTTCAGAACATGCATTCCTTTTACAAGCTTATTCGAGGAGAGGGAACTGATAGTAGGTAGATTCAAGTGTGAGAGACGTTTGTGCCATAGATTCCATGTAACAGATTTTAGATCGACAGTGTAGAGATTTGTTCTCCCCTGACACTTTAACAATGGTTTCCCACTCATATCCATCACGCAACACTGCTTAGCATGAAATCTCACTTTCATTCCACTATCACAAAAATGTTCGATGCTAAGCAAGTTGTGTTTGAGTCCCTGTATAACACCGTCCCCAAACATATTTTACTTTTCAGTAAATCGTGTAATAAACTTTGAAGAATGAATTATGAATTTGCGAATCTGTGAATTTTTGTTATTTTTTTGCGTGAATAGTGAATCGCACGCGGGGGCCACCCCGGGAACGGGGACCACCCGATAATTCCAGAACCACATATTATATTCATCTTGATATAGATAAGATGTATATAGTGGTGGATATTTTAGTTGGACCATAGAAAAGGCATAGAGTTGACCCGTTGGTCAAACGAGACCCAATTACTAGTATTAGTAATTTATCGGATAACAGCCGAAATGAATTTCGGAGACTCCTAAATTAAATTTGGGGAATGTACATCTATTCTAAAGTCCTATAATGATTGGGAACGTGTGATATATTTTATTTGGCCCGATAAAATAAAATATAATTAAAACAGTCCGAGAAATACAACTTTCAGGATCGATTGCACACTTTGGGACATATTAGGATGACCTCCCACATGGGTGGGACCACCCCATGAATTTAGCAACCAATAGGGGCTGATTGGCTTCAAAGGTTGCCTGAAAGCTCTTGAAGGGATGGGGGAGACATTTTTGACATCAAAAGGTGCCCTCTCACCCTTAATTGCTCAAAGAGACAAAATAGAAGCACATCCCTTTTCCCTTGCATCCATTATTTTGGCCCAGCACACAAGGAAGAGAAGAGGAACCTCTGCAACTACTTTCTCCATAGCCAAGAACAATTTAAGCAAGAAGGATCTCAAAGGAAGAGTTTGAGTTGCTAGAAGCGTAGAAAAGCTTGAGAAATTAAGGTAATGGCTTCATTAACCTTTTCTTCTCTCTTTCTTGGATATACTAGTATTTGAGAATGTTATGAAGAACCCTAGGATTATTCTATATGTTTTTAAGTGTAGAATAAGGGGTTGGAAGGTAGTTCTAAGTCCAAGAATGGACTTAGAAGCCAAATGACCGGTTCGCCGGAAAATAACCTTTTAGAGGTTATTTGTGTTGATATGGGTTTTGTGATGATAAAACCTTTTTAGGAGCTTGACTAAGGTGTTCCTAGAGGTCGTCGGAGTTTCGCTGGAGTTTCGCCGCAGTTCGCCGGAGTGTCACCGGAGTTCAACCAAGAAGGGTAGAACTTCTTAAAGCTCATTCGAGGTGAGGATGCTTACTATATTGCTTATAATTGGTGAGTTAATTTCATGAGATTACCTAAGGTAATTAAATGTGTTTTTATGGATTATTAATGATTAATAATGCCTAAGAATGAGAAGACTATTGTCTATAAGGAAAAGAGCATGATATACAAATTTAAGAGTAAATTGTGTAAATCATGTGTTATGAGTATGAATACTTGATAGTGGAATTAACTATGAAACTTATGTTGAAATATACTTTTTACTTCGTATAAGAATATATGAGTGATTAAAAGTGATATTTTGTATATTGATATAAATGATACTTTCGATGGAAAATCAGTTTGGAATTGTCTATATGACTATGAACGGAGAACTTGGATTGTTGGAATTAGCCCGATTAGTATTAATATACTAGTCGGGCATTAAAGTGAAATATATGATGGGTATGACCGTATGAGTCCAGGGGATTGGCCTACGGGTGTGTTCGGTAGTCTTTGAGGATAGCCGGTCGAATTATGGTAGTAAGTAAGGACCATGGCCCTTCCCGACTCTAGAGAGCGGGGTTGGATAACATGGACTTGCAACGTGATCACGGGTTAAGGTGGAATCCGAATCGGAGACCTAACTAGGCTCCAACAACGGTAACACATAAGATAGGACCTCGAAGAGCCTTACCTTCCTACGGGATGATGGGTATGACCGTATGAGTCCAGGGGCGGAATGTTGGAATCCGAACCGATGACTTTATGAAGCCTCGGACAGCGGTAGCAAGTCCCGTAGAAATAATATGACCTACGAGTTGTGTCGTGGAAACGATGATGAAATAGAAAATAAGAAAGGGGCCGTGTGCCGAACAAATTAAGGAATCAACTTATTATAAAGATAATAAGGGGGAAATATAAATTATTATTATATTATGATATCACCCTATTTTGAGGGTCTTAGAAATTAAAACGTTGATTATATTCAGTATAGTTGTCATTGTACTTTTCAAATGCTTCAAAGTACTGACCTCCCCTTCACGGAGGAGGCTACCTCACAGTTTCAGGTAGAACTTGAAGGTTGCTATCACCGCCCGTTGTTTCGGGGAGATTGAAGGAAAGAGACTTGGTTCGTGCTTCTTTCGTTTCTGCTTTGAAAACAATATAAACAATGCTCATGGATATTATTTTTCTAAATAATTATTTGGGGGCTTGTATGACTAATTATGCCAAGTGTGGCTTGAACACTTGTAATAATGTTTCCGCTGCCTTAATGAATGTTTTACATTATGCTTGTTTATGGATGTACTATGTGTGAACGATATTCCAGACGCCTTGTATGGTATGGTTGTGTTGGACTACGGTTGACTATTCATACTGTACGGTGGGTTGTTGACGTGTCCGGGTAGGTCCGGGGCGTGACACCCTGTACAAATGACACATTTTTTATTGTAACGTTGTCACAAATGACATCCCCTATTCCAAGTATTGGGGATGATGCGTTGTTCCCAAACCTCACGTTCCCTCCATAGCGATCAGTATAGTTGCTCAATAGTTCCTTTTGTCCAGTCATGTGTGATGAGCAACCAGAATGAATATGCCACACATGACTGGCCTGCAAAACAGATTTGTTTCGCTTAGGTACCCATCACCAGATGGGTCCTACCTTATCAATGGAGAAGTAATGTTTCAGTTTTTGTTTGATTTGGGAACCTAGACGCGCTGATAGAGAAATATTTGTTGTTCTTAATTTTTCAGCTTCGGTCTTAGGAACCCATTGTTGTTTGAATTTTGGAGCGAGGGAGGCTTATGTTATTCTGAATGGTTGTTTAGATAAATGATCTTTCAAGATTGTTTCATGAGAGAGCCTTCTCAAATGTTTGATTGAGTGAACCTTGAGGGGATACCTTAAAATGGTAGTTTTTATTCCCCCTCAACGTTCACCTTTTCAGAATGAGGCTTCTTCATGCATTTCTCAACCACCACAGAATCATGTGAACCATTAAAGGAATCAGACTCAAAACAGCAATTTTTCAT